AGCCTAAAGATGTACAAAGACACCGAGGAGGAGGGTTCTATCTTTTTTAATTATAAATTATTTAAAAAAATAAAAGAAAAATATAGCTGGTATATTGGTTATTTCATAATTATTTAACCTTTATTTTTAATTGTCTTAGTCCCAAGGATTTATGGTTTAAGGTTTTCCAAACATAAGGACAAACAGTGTAACAAAATTCTCATACAGACGATTTATGGTCTCTTTTATAAACAACAAGGACCATTTCTATAATTTTGTCTAATTTTTTAATGACAAAACTTCATATTTGGTCATTTTCGTTTGCAAAAATCTTTGGATGGAGTCCAAAAGGTTTCCAACTTGCATGGAAGGTCCAAAATCAAACTATTCATGTGATTTTGGTTTCAAATTAAGAAATTCATTTGGGTTTCGTCCTTGGAAAACCTGAATCAATGGTTTTGCCCTTTTAATTTCTTTTTTGTATTCTTTATATTTCATTTTGATAATTATTAATTAAAAATAAAACTAAAAGAATAGGGCCCACTCCCACCCTACCCCTGCCCTCCCCCCTTCCCCCTCTCTCTCCTTTAGAACCAGTAGATGTGTCTGCCTTTATATGCTCTGACCATCTAAATCACTATCGTCCACCACTTCCTTTCTTTAACCACCACCTACAGCTACCATCACCACCTCCTACTGCCACCACCACCACCACCAGATGCCACTACTATAAAAGAATCACTAATCAGAAAACGTTTTTTTTTTCTTGTTTCAACTTCCTGTAAAAGAAAAGTTGATTTTATCAAAAACATCAAATATTTAGCATTCATAACCAAAATTTAATTCAAAAGTTCCAATCCATCAATGAATGATAATCAATTTTAATGAACTCAACAATTCCAAATCAGATGAGGGAGTCAAGTTTTTTAGGGGTTTCCTTGTTTGGGTAATCTGGTAGCAAAGAAGAGAGACAGACCGTGACCCACTTACAAATCATCTTCATAAAAATTGACATAAATCAAAACCTCATACAGGTAACACTGTTGTGTGTTTCTAAACCATTGGCAGCTCCGCCTAGGTCCACCATATCATCTACAACTGGTTTTCTTTTCGATAATTGGCTCATGTGCACCTTTCCCCCAATCTATCGTCGACACCCCCTTTGCTCAACCTCCTGATGAGCGATCCAAAAAAAGATCAATTTTAGGAAATTGATCTAGTCAGCAATTGAGGATTAGTGATGCAGAAGTGGTGTTAACCCTCTCTTAATCCCATAGTCTTCATCTTTCTGTTGTTTTTTGTCACACACATACACAATGTGTGTGTGAGTTCCCTCATGTTGTTTAATCATATAGTAAACCCAAGATGGGTTCTTATGTTTTTTTCTCAACTATTGGTCTTCTAGTTTCTCGATGACGATGGTAAATGGTTGGGACTCAGAGAAGGTGTCGAAAGTGGGTTAGAAGAAGGAAGAGACGAAAGAGATAGAAGGATGAGAAAAGGAAGGGTATGGTGGATGTTGTGGGTTGGGTATATAATCCTTTTTATTTTAATATTTTTTTAAAATTAAAATAGTGTTAAAATAAATAAATAAACATATATATATATATATATATATATATATATATATATATATATATATATATATATATATATATATATATATGGTAACTAAAAGGGCATAACAATCTTTTTAGGTTTTTTAGGACCAAATTTACGAAAATTGTTTGATCATATAGTAAACCCAAGATGCGATCCAAATAAAGATCAATTTTAGGAAATCGATCTAGTCAGCAAATGAGGATTATTGATGCACAAGTGGTGTTAAACCTCTCTGAATCCTATAGTCTTCATCTTTCTGTTGTTTTTTGTCACAGACATACACAATGTGTGTGTGAGTTCCCTCTTGTTGTTTGATCATATAGTCAACCCAAGATGGGTGCTTATGTTTTTTCTCAACTATTGGTCTTCTAGTTTCTCGATGACGATGGTAAATGGTTGGGACCCGGAGAATGTGTCGAAGGTGGGTTAGAAGAAGGAAGAGACGAAAGAGATAGAAGGATGAGAAAAGGGAGGGTATGGTGGATGTTGCGGGTTGGGTATATAATCCTTTTTATTTTAAGATTATTTTAAAATCAAAATAGTGTTAAAATAAATATAGAATATATATATATATATATATATATATATATATATATATATATATATATATTTATATAGGGTAAAGTGAATATACCTAACAACCTTATATAAGCTTAGGTACCTAACCTCATCAAACTACGTCATTTTGCATTAAATTATCATTGCAATCATCCAATGTTCTTAAACTTAATCCCTAAACTTGATTTACTTCAAAAAAAATTTGGAAATTCTTCATTATATTTCTCGTACATCCTTTCATTTGTAGCGGTAGAATATGAAGCCCATCAGATGGTATTCGATAGAAAGACGTCATGTAAAAGAAAGATATTGGTGAAAGTTCAAAGATTTTGGAAGTAATCAAGTTATGGGGTTGAAGTTTAAGAACCTTAGGCAATTACAATGTGAATATGATACAAACTGATGTAGTATTATGGAGTTAGGTACCTAAGCTTATATAAGGTTATTAGGTATATTCACTTTACCCATATATATATATATATATATATATATATATATATATATATATATATATATATATATATATATATATATATATATATATATATATATATATATATATGGTTAGGTTCATGTGAGACGGCCTAATTTTGTGAGACCATGAGACGCATTTTTTTATTTTATTTATTTATTAGTTAATTCAAGTTCCGAAAATAATATTTAAAAAAAGATTTTTTTTGATTTTTCAGTTTATTTTGCATTTTAAAATTATTTTTTAGAATATGTACAGTGTAATATTCTATTAGAATATTTCATATATTTTTCAAAAAAAACGGGATTTTTTTTTAGTTAATTCAAGTTCCGAAAATAATATTTAGAAAAAGAATTTTTAGATTTTTCTATTTATTTTGGATTTTAAAATTATTTTTTAGAATATGTTAGTGTAATATTCTATTAGAATATTTCACGTATTTTTAAAAAAAAACGGGATTTTTTTATTTATTTACTATTTTTATTTATTTATTTTAGTTAATTCAAGTTCCGAAAATAATATTTAAGAAAAAAGAATTTTTGGATTTTTCCATTTATTTTGCATTTTAAAATTATTTTTAGATTTGGTCTCACGGTCTCATAAAATTAGAACGGTTTCAAATGAACCTGAACATATATATATATATATATATATATATATATATATATATATATATATATATATATATATATATGTGTGTGTGGTAATTAAAAGGGCATAACAATATTTTTAGGTTTTTTAGGACCAAATTTATGGAAATTGTTTGATTTTGTACCTTCCATGCAAGTTGGAAACTTTTTGGACTCCATCTAAAGTGTAAGACCCGAAACATTTAGATCAATACGATATAAATAAAACTATCTAAAGAATGCGGAAAATAAATCATATAATGATTCAAGAACACACAAATAGCACTTAATGCACACGATTTGTTAGTTGAAATCGTCTGGTACACCAAGAGCCTCTTAACAGCCGAATACAATAAAGATGAACAACTAGAACTCCTAAACGGCTGAAAATCTATTTATACAAACCTAGTACAAAGCTTTAACAATCCCATGCCCAAGTTGAACGAAATCACTATGTGATTTTGGTCCCCATAACCGAAAACACCCTAAGCCCATTAACAACAAACATTCCTAAGCCCAAGTACTATAATAAACTAAAAACCTAGCATAAACCATTTAAATATTACCCAACAATCACCCCCCTTGATTTATTGCTGACTGACTTTACGACTTCTCCACAAGATGAACATCAAAATCAGCCAATGCTCATGCACACAGCCTCTTATCAATGATTGTAGCTATCATGCCAGCAAAAGCCTTTGCAGCAGCTTCAAACATTTCATTTTCCACCATAAGCTGATGTTTGGATAAAGTATGAATGTCATACTCGCCAAATTTCAGCAAATCCCTAGGATCAACAAGACGAATCTTATCCTTTTTCAACTTGATTATGACAGTCATTGTAGCCTCATCATATACCCACTATAGTAAATCATTCAAAGAGCCATCAGGTACATGTTGAGTGATAGGGACCTTTTTTGCTTTATTTGTAGGCGGCCACATAACATTCACCATAGTCTTGTTGGTGCAGGGATTAATGACATCCTTGGACTTTTTAATGAACGATGTTGTTGTTTTCAAGCCTTCAAAGTTCTGCTTTGCTTTGTCTTTTAGGAACCTTTTAAACGCCCATGTGTTGGGTTCATTTTTTGGATTGTGGAATGGTGCGTGGACCATCTTTGCAAGATCAACTTTTGTCCAAGACACAAAGTCAACCTTCTTCGCATAGTAATCAATGTTTCCGCTTTTTCACTTTACAATCCACATCTTCTTATCAACTTCATATCCCCACATAAGAATTGTAGAACGATCACCATATCTGTTAACAAATTTTCTCTTTCTAATTTCTTTGATAAACATCTTTTGGTGATCACCAGGTGTATTCTAATTATAGTTTTTCATCAGAAGAATTTTGTATTTCCTCAGCTTATCAACTTCTCTCTGCTTCTCCCTTGTCCTTCAGCTGTGACAAGGCCAGAAGACGGAAATTGATCAAGGTTAGAATTTGGGGTAGGACAAACCACGACTGTTTTCAGATGTCTCTGAAGCTTTTCCATCATCAGAACCTGAAGTCTTGAACTCATCACCAAATTTTCCAATTAATATGTCTTTGAAATCAAAATAAAGAGTCGTCAACCTATGAGTATTGGCTTGAAGGTCTGAGATATGCTTGCTCTTTTGAGAATTTCCTTTTCAAGTTCAGAAACTCTCACATCCAAATTGCCAATCAACAAGTCCTTCTCAATGGGCTCCTGCTTCAAAATTATGATATCTTGTTTGAGCTTAGAAATGGTTTGTTGAGAGTCTTCATCCCCTCCTTGCTATGAGCCAATAGATATTCCCTTTCCTCTTGACTGAGGAATAGATTCTTGAAAAGCAATTAGCTTGGCTAACTTGATAGATGCATAATCGTGCTCTGGAGGTGGTGGGGTAGAAGAGCTTCTCGAGGAAAAAATTTCCTCATTAGCTAAGAGGTCTTCGTAAAAAATTGGGCTTTGATCATCTTGATTAACTTGGGCTGGTTCAACATTTGAAGTTAGTTGTTGTATTGGTTTAGTAATAAGCACTCCCGACCTTGGATCTCTACGTCTTCGCTTTCTTGACATCAGGGAGGCATTTGAATCGTCTTTATCACTCCCAGATGGAGACTTAGTATCAGGAACTGCTTGGGGAGGCTTCCTCGCAGTTGACTATAATTTTTCGATAAGGGCTTCCATCTATTCGAGCATTGGATCGTTTGGTTGCTTGAAAATGTTGATTTCTTTCTCTATCTCAGCTAGAGAAATCACAGCCTCATTGACTGGCTCCTTTAATGGTTCAAACATACGAACATCATCGTCATCATCATCATCATTAACATCATCATCATCATCAGAAACCTCAAGCGAAAAACTGAGATTTGATCTTGATGGCACCATTTGTTCTTCGGCCACCATAGCAATTGGTACACCAGCAGTTTGAATACGTTCTGTCTCTGTGAATTTACCCAACTTCACCAGTGATTTTGTTCCCTTTAAAACAACTGTTGACGCTTTTCGTACTTGTTTCATGAGTCCAAAGGTGTTTGGGCCTAGGGATTTGACATCAAGAGTATCGGGGGTCCTTTCTAGCTCGGGATGCATGGTATCAAAGATCATTTGTAAAAACCGAGGATACATAAAAAAAGATCCTTCTTTTTCCCAGAAAGGTTGTTCTTCATTTCATCAAAAACAAATTTTGAGAAATTGTACTCCCAGTCCATTATTAGTGCTACAAAAGTTGATGTTGTTGTTTGGATTATATCGTCCGACCCGCCCTTTCTTCCAGAGATACAACTAATAAAAGTATGGGCCAAAAATCTCCAATAAGGGGGAAGTAGCTTCTTGACTATTAGAGGAAAAATTCCTTCGTAATTCATCTTCTTTAATACTTCTGTGATCTTCGCAGCAGGGAGTTATGTTGGGAAAGAAGGTTGATCTCCAAACCGAAGCACTTCCCGAATGACTTGCTCTGTAATAATAATCTGATTGCCTTTCACAGAGGATTCAATAGCACCAACACCATCCGCTCCTGCACAGTTGAACGATGTATTCCTCCAGAAACCATTAATCAGGTCCTTGTGAGAATCAACAAACTTCTCAAAAATTCACGTAGAGCATGGGAAATTCTGCATTTATTCAAAACCCACGATCATGGATTTGAATTCATTGTGCACGGCAGGTGAATCCAGGTGATATCCAACAATATTGTGAGAATCAGCAAACTTCAACTGATCCGCCATTTATTTGCTCCAAACGAGCCAAGTGAGAACAATAAAAATTAAAATTAAAAAAAATTCTCAAAAATTCAAATTTTGGTAAAAAAATGTTGATTTCGGTCAAAAGCAAGTGATTTCCGTTAAAATCAAGTGATTTAATCAAAACAGAATGATTTTGGTCAAACTTGAGATTTCGGTCAAAAAAGGACGTTTTCGGTCAGATTAAGTTATTTTCGGTTGGATCCGGGTCAAACCGACAACCCGACGTTTCGAATTTTTGAAACCCTGAATAATTTCAACAGAAAACCACCGTTAAGCTCACCGAAAATCCTTTGAACACCTGCAAAAACTCCAAGAAAGGACACAAAAATTGAAGCATGCTACTCGAAATCCACATACCTATTCAAAATTGCAAGGAATCAAAGAAAAAAAATGATGATTTGAGCCGAGAATGAAGATGAATGGATGAACAATGAGAAAAAAGGGTTTTAACTTAGGTTTTTGAGAGAAGGAAGATGATTTTCGGCAGTGGAAATGAAATTAAAACAGAAAAAAACCCTTATTGAACCCTAATATGGGTTCTCGGCCCTTAGGCCACCGAATACGGTGGGCCCCAAAAGAAAATCAATTTAACAATTCGTTTCTTAGATTAAAAATGAAATAAAATAAAACTAAAATTTTGAAATGAATGCAAATTAAATGTAAAATAAAAATAAAAAAATAAAAATTTTAGAAACAAAAATAAAACAAAATAAAATAAAACAAACACATTTATATAACTAAATTTAAAACTTTTGGGATCAAAAGTTTTCAAGCAATTTAATATCGTTTATCAACACACACATGAATGGATAAGTCTGGTCAATCACCAATATTGTGATCCACTTAAACACAAATGATATTTGCAAATTGGACATATTATAAGTGAAAAGACATTGCAATTATATTCCTAAAGAGACCATTTTTCTGACGACGACCAATGATATTGTTGTCCACTTAAATTCAACAGTGAGATCTACAGTCAACCTTTAGTTATGAACCAATTCAGTTTTAAGCACACAAGAACGTGTTCCCCACTTCACGACATACCTTAGCAATCAAGGAATTCAAAAGAGCTCTTTACTTTAGGTGAGTGTTCAATTATTTGAGAGAGAAGATAGATATAGAGATGCATATGTTGTATCCCAGGTCGGATCTATTCCAATTACGCAGAGGGACAACAAATAGCTAACATAGATAGAGGGATAGAGATAGAAAGGTGCATATGTTGTGTCCCAGGTCGGATCTCTTCCAATCACATAGAGGGGACATCATTTGAGTAACATAGATAGATAGATAGATAGAGATGCATATGTTGTGTCCCAGGTCGGATCTCTTCCAATTACGTTAAGGGGACAACATATGCCTGACATAGAGGATAAGAAAGAAAAACAATTTCATACAGGCCTACTTTATCAGAACCCCCCAGTCACCCTATCAGCACCAGAATTCAGGACATAAGTCCGTACGTCGAAGAAGTATTGAGCCACAGTTCTAGATGATAAGTAACTTTAATGTATATTGTATTCCCCTTATTTATCTCACTGATCAATCTATCCGAACGTCGTATGGTCAGTCCAAATGTAACTACCTAAGTCCAGATGAGTTAACACTATCAAGTCCTTTTCATTGTCAACAGTGTCTAGTTCTTTCATTTTGAATCCTTCGTGCCTACCAACACATTGAATACAAAGTCTAAACAATTCAACTTCAGTGCATTACACGTATTTCATATTTCCCTTTAACACTAAACTTCATATCACTTCCCAAGAACACTTACGAAAAAAGACATATTTTTGGAATTTTTTTGAATTTATAATTTTTAAAAAAATTTTGATTTTATAAATTTTTTTTTATTTCTCCGCCTAAATTTGTGCATAGGGAAGAAAGGAAATAAAATGAATGTGCAAATTTAAACAAACAAAAAAATCTTTGAAACAAATCATTTTCAGAAAACCCACAAGCATCAAGAAAATTCAAACTGTAATTCAATAATTGAAGTTGCATCCAGATGACCTGAGAACGGCACGCATAAACAACAATGTATTCAGCCTCAACTGTGTTTCAATTCCAAAATGAAGTTAACATATTCAAAATTCAACATGCCATTAAATACGATCCCCATTTATGTGATCTTTTCTTTCTCCCTTCCCGCAAAGGACACATGCTCTCCATTAAAATTCTAAATGTCATGCATAAGAGAGATGTCCCCTATCATGTGCCTAGAATAGCCACTAGCAACATACCGAGGTCTGATGATATTCCTCCATAGCTGCTCCGGTAGAAAGTGCGGAATTAGATGGTTTTTGGAACCTAGTCCATTTTGAAAATGGATTTACCATTACTATCTACACAAGATACTCTTTCCCATGACATATCGTGTTTATCAGAAAAAACATAATTAAGTTACAGGACTTTTGAATGATTTTGAAATGTGACCTTTGGGAACCCATTGGTAATTAGGTTTGGGTACTTTCTTGTTGGACCGAAAGAGACCTTTTTCACTTACCTTTGGAACATGACTACCTTTCGATTTAGGCTTGTATTGAGATTGTGAGCTAGAAGACAATCCTTGAGATGAATCAGACCTCACCGATTTCGGTTTGGCTAAACCATCTCTCCAATTAGGCTTATTGTCTGACATGCCCCTTTTTTCCTTAGGAGTCTGATTTTTGGCCTTTTTAGCATTCTAATCACCATTGCGTAAACTTGACCTCGAAGGATTTCTTTTTGAAGATCTCCCCCTTGACAGGTTATGCCAACCTTGTTCATAGCAGGGAACATATGAACGATGTGGGCAATTTCTAGCAATGTGACCAAGAGTCCCATAGTTAAAACAACTGTCTTTTCAAATAACTAAGATTGTGACTTGGTCCTTATCCAAATGAAGTTTGTTTCAAGGAACTTCCACAAACACAAGCACATGAACATTTATTAGACTGTTTAACAAATTTTTGTGGCTTGAATTTTTTAGCAGTACGAGTATCATCATCACAAGTTTTTGAATCATTTTTAGCAGAACTAGAATAATTTTTGTTCTGCTCATGCTCATCTTGCACTGTGACCTTATCTGCACATGAGGTAGAAACATTGGTATCGTTCACACTATCATTATTTATTGCCTCAACTATAGTAGGTTTGCTATACTGTAAGTGTGCTTCCCTTGCCTTTTCTTCCTCAGTCATAGGGGTAAAAGTGTAGTTATCGTTGAATAGAGGAGGAACACTATCATACCCTAGACCTACATTCTTTTTGTCTTTCCATCTAAGTTGCTTTCAAATCATTGTCTCAACTTTCTTACTTGACACATCAAATTTTTTAAAATTAAAATCTGCATTTTCAAACTTAATTTTCAATGTGTTAAGCTCGACAGTTAGATTGACAATCTTTTCTTGAGCATAATCACAGTGTTCACATTTAGTGTTGTATTTTTTCTTAATTCTTTTTAGATATTTAGTTTGGGCCTCTAAATTTTCTTTTAAGGGATTTTGATCCTTTCTGAGAGTATATCCTTCATATCTAAGGTCCTTAATTTCCCTAATTAATAAATTATGTTGATCATGATAATGTTTATTTGTATCACTACAGGCTTGAGTACAGAAAGTTTCACTAACCTCTTTGGTATTGTTGTAAGAACTCATAATTTACCAAAATGAATCTGATTGTGTAATTTAATTTTGACCAAAAACCAAGAAAGTCAAACAGGTGAGTTGACCGAAAACTCCAAAAAGTGTTGACCGAGAACAACGAAAAAGTTGACCGAGAACTGTTGATTTCAGTCGAGAATGAAAAGCCGAAAAACGCTTATTTCTTGTATAGATTTCAGTCAAAACATTAACCGAAAACCTTCAACTTTGACCTAGATCCACCGAAAACCCTTAAGTTTATAGAACCGAAAACCTTTCTTTCTTATCAGGAAGTCACCGAAAACCCTTAAATTTCATGATTTTAATTGATAAGGATCCAAATTAATCCTGAAAGTCTAGATGAAGATCCACGAAGAACATGCTGAATACTAAGAATTCCAAGAACAGTTAATCGATGAACAGCAAAAAAATTTATACATTTAAGTCGAAAGTTATCAATTTTCGATTAAACCAATGATCTCAAAACAACTAAAAACGAGTCCCCAAGGTCCTTAAATCGATTGATACCTATTTAAAGCTCAGATACCAATTGTAAGTCCCAAAACACTTAGATCAATACGATATCAATCAAACTATCTAAAGAATGCGGAAAATAAATCAGATAGTGATTCAAGAACACACAAATAACTCTTAATGCACACGATTTATTAGTTGGAATTGTCTGCTACACCAAAAACCTTTAAAACAGCCGAATACAATAAAGATGAACAACTAGAACTCCTAAACGGCTGAAAAACTATTTATACAAACCTAGTACAAAGCCTTAACAGGCCTTATGTGATTTCGGTCCCTATAACCGAAAACACCATAAATTCATTAACAATAACATTCCTAAGCCCAAGTACAACAATAAACTAGTGACCTAACATAAAGTTTTTTTTTTTTTTTTTTTTTTTTTTTTTTTTTTGCAAACCATAAGAACCATATTTACAGTTTTGTTTTTTCTTACCTAATAAATAAATATTTTTTTGTCACATGTTATCACCTAATTCAATATGACACATGATATTTTTATAAAAAAAATCAATTTCATTTATATCTACTTGGCAAATTATGTTTTTTGGTTTTTTATTAAATTATAAAAAAAATATAATCTAAAAATATAATAAAGAAAATAAGAAAATATAAATATCTCCATAAATACTCACATCATTTGTCAATTACTTTATTAAATTCAATTTAAATTTACTGTATTAAATTCAATTCAATATGACACATGACATTTAAAAAAAATCAATTTCATTTAAATCTACTTGGTAAATTATGGTTTTTTGGCTTTTTATTAAATTATAAAAAAATATAATAAAGAAAATAAAAAAATTTAAATATCTCCATAAATTCTCACATGATTTGTGAATTACTCTATTAAATTCAATTTAAATTTAAATCAACCTTCATAATTGGAAAATATAATTTTCGGCCAATCTCTTTTGAATTCATAATAATTTGTAGAAATCTTGTAAAATTTGGTTTATTCACAACTAATGTTGATATTTTTTCAAATTCAGTTTTGTAAATTATTAAACATGTAATTCTTAATAAAATATATTAAATTTTAAAAAAAGAAAAACCATTAAGTATACAAATCTCACAACTAGTTTAAAATAAAAACAAGATTTTTCATGTGAATTTGGAGATATTAAGTTGTTTAAAATAAAAACAAGATTTTTCATGTAAATTTGGAGATATTAAGTTGACCATTCCATAAAACACGTTTTCCATTGAATGTAGGTTGGAAAAGACGTCAACGTTGAATAGGTTACATATTGACCGTCATTTTCGATCTTACCTCTAATGATTACATATGTTATATGACCCAATTCCTCTAATTTTATTTTCATCACGTGTGTATTTCTCTAATTAAAAAAACATTTTAAATGTTAATAAGATAGATTATAGAATGGCACTATCAGCTGCAGTGAAGTGGTTTTTAGTGCATTCGCACTATGAAGGTTAAGATAAAATTTATTCTGTAATTTAATTCAAGTGAAATTAGTAAACCTCATATTTGGGGATCACACCAACTGATCCCATCACTAAGTACAATTGAGATAAATTACAATATTCTAACCGTAATAAACATGATAATTAAACTTGAACTATGAGTAAGTTTAATTCAAGTAAATTAAATAAACCTCTTATTTAGCTATCACACTAACCAATTTCATAACCGATACAAAATAAAAATAATAATAATAATAATAATAATAATAATAATAATAATAATAGTAAAAATGATTTATGAGACTATGACGTATATATGACACGGGAGTGGACCTTCCACATTAACATCACTACACCACCAGTGAAGAAGACACATATTTTTGTGGTCACACCTTGAATAAGCGACAGAAAAGGAGGGTGGTTGAGGAGTAACCAGGGTCAGCTCAATCAGTTTGGAGGCTCTAAGCAAACAAAAAATTTCGGGCCATTTAGCATTTACTATATTCAATGTTATAAACCCTCATCTGTAGGACTGACAATAATAAACTAAAAAATTTATAAATGGCGGAGTTAAATTTTTTTATTATTATTATGTATATATGCTTTGTGAATAAATTTAAGACGTAAAGTTAATTTTTCTAGCTTTTTTTTAGATGCAATAAACAATCACCAAGACAACCGACATAAGTGTAAAAGATATGGACTAGGATTATACCACCTCAGATAATGTAAAGCTCAAATTTAGAAAACTGAAAATTTTAGTAATCAATCAGAAGTTAACAATGAAATCTAGAATCAAAAATATAATTGAAAAGATTAACCCTAATCGGCTATTAACCCTAAATAATGAAAAATCAAAAGTGAAAACACAAACACATTACCGTTTCAATGTCCAGTGACAACCTTGATTAGTTAAATCATCAATGATTTTGAACAATGGAGTCTATGTCGAAACCGAGAATGAAGAAAGAAGAATAAGAATTGAAGAACAAAAGGTATTTTCAACCCTTATCGGTGTGGAAGAATCGAGATCGGAGATGCCTAGAAGGCTAGAACAAAGAATCAGAGTTCGAGAATGGAGAAGAAGAATAACAGAAGTGTAATTGTAGAGAAAAAGAAGAATAGGAAGAGTAATCGCCGGTTGTAATTTATCAATACTTTTGATTTTTGGGAGTCAGACGTGTGATCGACACAGAAAAGTAAACGTGTGAAACTGGATTGTGAATTAAGTGCGGCCCCTTAAAAATTGGGGCCCTAAGCCCTACCCTTACTCAAATGTACATAAGACCGGCCCTGGGAGTAACGAGTTTAGAACATAAAATTACATTGTTCATTTTTTAAATGAAACCGATAGAAAATGAAAGGAAAAAAACTAGTTGAGGGTCCGGGTTGGATCGTGTAACCAAAAACATGTTGCTAAAACTTATAGTTTTGAGGTTGAAAATATCATTTTGCTAATTTTTTATTTTACAATTCGTAATTCACAAACACCAATCGAAATATCGAATAATCAAACAAATGGACAACAATTAAATAATCAATACAATAACAAAAACCTAATATAAAATCATAGAACAATCAAAGTTTATGTTGTGAAATCATTGAACAATTCACATATCACACTTCAATATTCACTATTAGTAAAAATAAAAGAAAAAAAAAACTATTATGTAATAAATTTCTCTTATTCATAATCTATTATTAACAAATATTTAATATTAATAATACTAGCATAAAGGAAGAAAGATTCAATGAAACAATAAGTTAAAAAAAACTTACATTTAATGAAATTTGATTTGTGAATTATGAATCATTGACAACAAATGAATTATGAATTGATGAAAGCCTTGTCCTTGGAGTCATTGTTGTCTATTGAACCGCTGCTCTAAGTAATCAAGTTTACTTTTATATATATATATATATATATATATATATATATATATATATATATATATATATATATATATATAATTTAATTTTTTTGTATTAGGTTATACATATTGGATTATACCTAAACATTTTGGGCTATTAAAAAATATGGGCTTTAAAATTGATTTTTATTTTATTTTTGTTTGCCAAAAATATTAAGTTGATCATTTAAAATGTTTTAGGTAGGTCACATCATTTTATTCTATAAAAACTATTATAAAAAAATGGATCAAATAACCGACCTTCAATATATGTTGGCTTCACCATTGTGGTTGAGGTGAAGTCTCACCACACACAATGGCTTCACCTCAGCACCATGTCAGAGACGAGTTGGTGTGCACGTCATGGTGAGGGTGTCTAATCACCATCACGTCCTCTGCATTGAAGGTATACCGAACACCTTAATATGACAAGGATAATAAATGATAATATTAAAACCATTTTTCCTATGATTTTATAGGTTTTTATATAAACCTTAGGTCTAATCACATATACATAATAACATCTAATAACATGATATCATCACATTACATCAATAATAAAAATATATTATATAGACATGGGTATAAATATTGATTATAAGAGCTTCTTCAATCACATAACACAAAAATAGTGATTGTTTAACATCAAAATAATGATTCGGTTCCAACCAACCTCTAAAATAGTGTTTTTAGGGGTCTTTATATTTGGTCTTTCATATTTGGTATTAAAAGGAAGCCAACACAAAAATGATGTTAAATTTAGAGGTTGGTTGGAGGAGTATTGGCTTCCAAAACACAAAAATAGTGATAAATGGAGGATGATTAGAATTGCTCTAAGAGATAAATTTAAAATCACACGTAAACATGATATAAAATTTGAACATGAAATTTCCATATAAAATTCATTAAACTTATTGTTAATGTAAACATACAAAAACAATTTAATATCTATATAAGTCGTTTTAATGCTTTAAGCTATGGCTATCCAAAAATTTTTGTCAAGCGAACTAAGATATAAAATATACTAACAATTAGCAACTTGTGAATAGCGTAATCCCTATTCATTCCCACCATGTATAGCATCAACAAGTGTTATAGGATACTTAGCCCATTGTGATCAAATTAAATTCCTAATTTTCCTAAAACAATCTATGAACCAAACATCTCTTTACTTTAGATAATCACATCCTTTTCTTATACCGTACGTCATATCCCTCTTAAATTTTTTTAGCCATTTGAAAATCGGTTTCCACCTTCGCGCCACGAAGTTGTTTCCAGCTTCAATTTTTTCTCTTTTCAAAACAGGCCCTCAAAGTTCAATTTATTTCAATTTCTCCCTAAAAGTTACAACTGTTACGTAAATGACAAAATTTAAATGGATGTCTATTCTTTTGATTATTAAAGATATATATAGTGTTATATAACATTTGTACCACAATATCCAAAAGCAACAAAGATAACATCCAAACATTAACCAAAACCAAAACCAAAAACTTCACTTATTTATTTTCACACCTTTACTGCTACACCAAGCATACATAGACTATAACCACATGCTGCTATAAGCAATTATTAATTTTACATCAAACGAATAACACATAAGAGCATTTAGCGTTTCAAAATACTAACAAATAATACAATATCTACCACTCTATCACCCTTTTCCTACAACCAAACCAAATATTAAATATACCACAATTGCAATTACACTTTTAAAAACAACAACAAACATAAACAACTTCAGATCTACGGATTAACCCCTGAAGTAATCTTTCGTTGTGGTTCTTCTGTGGGGAGAAAACACCTTGCAAACCAATGTAAAGGTTTCATTAGTTCTTCTCTTTTCTTTCTCCAAAACCAAATTGCAGCATTATACTGTTGATTTCTAATCACTTTTGTTGCTGCCCGCCAATCGTACTTCTCCATCTCCTCTCGGGCAGCCTGCCCGATCTTTTCACGTAACGCCACGTCATCTAATAACGGGACCAGTTTTTTTAAACAGTCGTCAAGATCTCCGGGGGTGAAGAGGAACCCGGTTTTTCCCTCCTGTTCGGGCGGGATAATGTCGGGCACACCTCCAGCTCGGGCAGCCACTACGGGCAGCCCTGATGACATGGCTTCCAGGACGACCTGCCCGAGTGTTTCGGATTCGGAAGGCATTAGGAATATGTCCCCGCTGGCGTATGATTGGGATAATTCTTCGCCTTGTAACATTCCTGTGAAGACAGCTGGCATCCCTTCGAATAGCTTTTCAAGATCCTCCCTATTTTTGCACATCAAACTTAAATTAAGAAATGATAATGCTATTTACATATTGTGAAAAATCGAATAAATATTTTCAAGGTTTCATGGAGTTTGACTTTAAAAGGGGTTCATGTGGGGTACCTGTATGGACCATCTCCAACGAAAGCTATCCTTGCCTGTGGGATCTTTTCCATGACACTGTTCAATTTGGAGATCAATCGACACTTTAGAAATCGTATTTGAAAAATATTCATGTTAAAATTACCTATTTCGCATTATAATCGACTAAAATGAAGAGTACCTTTTAAGGAAATCTAGATTTTTCTCAACTCCGATACGCCCAACATGTACAATCAATGGTCGATCCGGTTCGCCATTGCTGTTTATAACAGAAATTGAAGCAACAAAATCAAACAAAGAATTGAAATTGTTGTCGCATTGTTTCATGAATGATGATTGGGTTTTCAGCGATCAACATATAAGATCAATTAGTTGTTTCTCTTTGGAAAATTCAAGTGATTCTTTTTTACTTTACTGCAGAAAGAACGACTAAAAGGGAAAGACATTTTCCCCTTTATGCTCTAAATACTTATAATCGTCATATATCTGGAAATTACTTAATGAAAAAAAAATAAAAGAAATGGGAAATTAGCCAAAGAAGATGCATACGATAATCTAACTCGCATTTCATGTGACTTGAATTTTGGATGAAAGCTATCTGAATCAACACCCTTATTCCATAGACGGATCGTGTTAGCTAAAAAGACAAAAAAAAAAACATTGTAATGATTTTATTAATTAATATATTTTCTCAAATATTCAACACATTTCAATATCAAGTATTAAACGTTTACCTTCTGCTACTTTGTATTGTTCAAGATCCTTTGCAATAGCAGCCGATGGGACCAATGTAAGATCAGCAGCTCGATGAAGAAATTCTAATCATACAAGAAAAATATAATCATTTCTCATCTCCAAAAACCTTAAAATATAACAATACAAGAGCAAAAAGGAAGATTCATGGCATACTTATAACTAACCACATTGGCTTAACTAACCAGCTAGACGTGTATCTTGGTATGTATCTGCATTAAAACCACATCTTATTCAACTTCAAGCACCAAATTTGTATAAATGCATGTGTATACACATATACACATACAGAAAGGACAAAACATAAATCACAATTTGTCTCAAATGTTTCACTTACACAGGCACATGTGTATGATACGACATCACTATCGGGACAGACAACATTTTTGCAATTGCAAGCGCTCCAAAAACCTTATAAGTCACAGAGTAAAATGTTGTAATAGGATGAAATGAGAACACTATAATAGATAAATCATTTAAAGCGTGTGTTATTTTGTGCATTTAAGCATGTGTATATGCACACATACATGTAGAGGGGGAGAGGATGTACCATAATACCAGGAGATGATGCATGGATGATGTCTGGTTTGAACTTTTTAACTTCATTGATGATTCGAGGGCTCAGAGCAAGGGAAAGTGGCACTTGCTGATACCATGGGAAAGGGAAGCTGTAGAAAGAGGATTCAAGAAAATTTAAAAATAGTTTGATGTAAAGAAATCGGTGTTAGTTTAGAATTTAGATGAGTTGAAAAATGTTTGAGAAAAACTGAAATGGGGACGAAAAATGCAAATAGATCAACCTTCGTGAGCCAACTAATTTTGCTCCATGAAATTCTTCAGGCACCCCTTCATGAGTCGTTACAACCATCACCTACAAAAAGTGCAATAACCCAAGTAAGGCTTTGTTTCTTTTCTTTTTTCCTATTAAAATAAATCATGTTTAAAAGGTATTCGAGAAAATAATGATAATGATACACTAATATAGTAATATAAGTATATAATAAATTTACCTCGTCCCCCATCTCGCGTAAATATTTAATGAAGTTTTGAAACCGATTCTTGTATCCAGACACATACCTGTTATAGAAATGAGATACAGCAAATGAGACTTGATCAAATATGTCTAATATGATACGAATTCGAATACGATCAAGCTTCAAATGTATATTTTCTAATTGTGGTAGTAACCACTTGAATGGGAGATGATAATTACTTGAGAAACGCATAATTTCTGTCATCAATATCATCGAATTCACAACATAGCAATCCAATTTGTGGCAAGAATACATCAATATAAGTAGCAGTTGACTTTCTGCCAACATTTTGACATTCTATCGACACAGTTTCATAATATCCATCAATCAAGCTCACAAATAGCTTCGTTACAGGAAAATTTTAAACGAATAGCAGTTAATACGCATCAACAACACACGGGTAGGTGGATTATGCCTGCTACTTGTTAGGATAACTGAAAATCGTAAATCAAAAGAGAGACTCACGCAAAGGGAGATGGTTCAACGAAGAGAGCAATACGCCTAGGCTTAGTGACAATTTCATATTCAACCTGAGAAGGAGGACCCTCCTCTTCATCTTCTTTCCGCTGCTCGATTGTCATTCTTTTGCAAGAAACGAAGAAGATGGAATCTTGGAAGGGTAGCGTTATAAAAGCACAAAATCAAGAAAATCTTGAACTAGTATCAAGCAAATGAAGCAGACGCAGATGTAGATGCAGATGCAGAGAGGAAGAAATAGGGGTTTATATCGAAAGAAGATCTTGGCATTATGATTGGTGGTGACTTGTAAGCAAGTAGAAAGATTGGGGATTTTTAAATATGAAAAAGAGAATATTAATTAGAAGGAGGAATCGTAGGGGAAGAGAGTAATGGAAGTGGATTATGGATATTCGATTCGATGAAGAAAACCGGGAATCATCTGAAGCATATGCTATTGAAATGACCAATGGGGTTGAATGATTATGATTTATCAAGTCGGACGTCTTGTTCTGGCAAGGTGGGGTCTTTTGTTTCGGACAGTGATGTTTTATATTTGTATTCAATATATTGGGGGATGCAAACATGCTCGATCTTATACTTACACAACTTATTTCTCCATGTCGATTTGCACATGGTTCATATAAAAATTATGCTACTTCTGTTCATGCTTGTTGGTTAAGAGATGTTTTCTTTAAGTGGTTTTGAATAAAATTTGAAATTAGGAAGGTAACTTGCGAATAATCGAAAACTTTAAGTTAATTTATTTGGTAAATTAGGTTAGAAATTGTCTTATTTGAGTAAAGAAAAATATGAAATAGTTAGAAATTATTATTAACAAGTTTGAAACATATTTTCAAATAAGATAAGATTGAAACTATAAATAAATAGACAAAACTGCAAAAATGATCAATGTGATATGCATTTTTACCGAGGTTTAGTCCAAATCTCGATTTTTTTTTTGTTTCATTGTTCTTTTAAACTAGTTTCGTTGTGTTTTTAGTCATTCGGTAAAATGAAAAGACTATTATACCTTTAGTATATTTATTTTTCATTTTTTTCTAAAATATTTTATAATTTTTAAATATATAAGGGCTCACCTACCTTCTCTCTCTCACACACACACAAATCGTCTTCCACCTCTGCATTCTTCCTGTTTTCCTTAAACCTAAAAAATTGAAAACTCAATTTAATCAAGAATCTACCCCAAACCCCATTATCGGCATCTTGTTCATCTTTAAGAATCTACCCCTCCCCCCTCTCCCATCCCATACCTTTTTCGGCGACCTCCCTATCTCCTCCTTCTGGTTTGACCATCTTCTCCATTGTTGTTGCTTGTCCCACAACAACTCCCCTCTCGTTATCCCTTTCCTGAACCTATATCATATCCCTACACTAGACTCACCAGAAATACCTTGCCGAAAAAGGTTGTAGATGGATCACCCACAACTTTACTTATTTACTCCTTTCCTTCTCTATTGCGGATGGAATCAATTACCTAGGTTTCAAATTCAAGGAAAACAAAACCCCAAGAAAACTCCAAATTGTAAACAAAAGGGTGTAAGGAAAACCGATTTTCAAAAATCTGTTTGGACATAAGGAGAATCAATTTCCATTGTTACAGATAACCCAAAACATGAGCCTCCAACCAACAGTTCACCATTGTTATTCCTTGTATCAGATGCTATGAGTTTGTTGGTTGACTAGAAAACCCTAAAGAAGAAGCAGATAATGACTTTAGTGGATGAACACACACACTTATTTCGAGTATGTACCCTAAATGTGTGCGATTTTCGGTACACAATCACATAAGCGACAGTCTTATGTTCACTAAATTCAAGCAACAATAAAATAAAAATAGCATAATCTTACAATTGTGAATAGATGGTAGAAGGTGAAATCGAACAAGGAGATGATCCTGTAATTTTAGTTAGACAATGGTGATGACGGGTTGAATTGATTCCAGATGTATAAAATCTAATTTTAGAATAAACGAGACTAATATCCAACAACGACGATTTCATATACACAATGGATATGACGTTTATGGCGGCAACTATTTAAGAAGGAAGGTAGAGAAGGAGAGAGAGTACTCATTCCTCTCCCGTAGGTCGAGTGGCTTCGCTCATATAAGCTAGTTCTCACTTCCGAGCTCTAACTCCTTTCTTTCGAAGTATTAAATTTTAAGAGAGAGAGAGAGAGAGAGAGAGAGATGGAGAGGGGGGATGTTTGTGGGTCCCTTTTACTGTTTTGATTATTAAAATATTAAAATAAATATTAAAAAATGTAAAAATAAAAATGAAAGGGTATAATAGTCATTTTAATTTTTGTAGTGACCATTTCCACGTACAAACTAGTCCAAAAGGACCATGAAGCCAAAAGGTCGTGGTTTGGACTAAACCTCGGAAAAAATGCATACCATAGGGACCAGTTTGTAGTTTTGTCAAATAAATAAGCACATTAAGGATTTAAAGCAATAATAATGAAAATGAAAACACAAAGTTATAATTTATAAATCTAAAAAGATATTTTGACCCTAAGATGTGGAAGTCCCGGTTTTACTCACTATACATTTTAATGACCAACCTATTATTTTGACATGTATTTAAGTGTCGGTAGTGATTGAGTCTTAGAAGAGCATCAGATATTTTGAAGGTTGTTGTCACGTAAGGGTGACTTATCATGTTTTGTGATATTATTATTGTCACGTCGGGGTGACTTATCATGTTTTGTGATATTACACGTCTCTTATACTCTTTTGAAACTTTAACTACTTGATGAAAAATGGAACTTTGGGATAGAATTCTGCAAAACAATGTTTTACTTATTTTAGAAGTGTTTTAACTAACCAAAAGAGGAGTTTTGCATATTGAAGAGATGGAGTCCCATACATTCGAGTTGGAGAAATTCAATGGTTCGAACAACTTCACTTTGTGGAAGGTGAAAATAAGGGCTCTTATGGTTCAACAAGGTTGTGTGGTAGCTTTGAAAGGTGAAATAAAATTATCGAAAGACATGGTTGAAACCTAAAGAAAGATATTCTAAAAAAACACACAATATTCTTTTGTTATGCTTGATAGATGAAGTGTTACGGTAGGTTGTCAATAAAAGAAGTGTTGTTAGGCTTTGAGAGAAACTCTGTGACAAATATTAGAACAATTCTCTCATGAATCGACTATGTCACCCCCGAATAATAAAAAATAATCAGGTAAAGGATCCATGAGGGGCGTTGACGAGGGTTGGGGGGAGTGGGTAATTGCACACGACGCATTTTTTATATCATATATATTTTTATTTAAAAAAAAAAACTTATAATAACAATAAGAGCCCTTTTTTCTGACTCCTCATGGGTCTTTGAGGATATTTAATTACTCAGGACCAGCCCCGAAAGGATCATCTAGACAATTTTAATCGGAGTATACTTGATCTACAAGGTGTTGACATTAAAAAATTAAAATGAGGATCAAGATCTAATTCAGTTGTGTTCTCTATCAAATTCTTATGAGAATTTCATTGATATCAAGTTGTACGGTAAAACAAATATTATTGTTAATGATGTAAAGGTTTCCTTATTATCTACGAAACTCAAACTTAGCCTTTCTAGTAATAAATAATGATTCAATTTAGTTTAGGTCTATTTGATGGTAGGAGTAGAACACTAGAAAGAGTCGATGGAAATAAGGGAAAGTTATGTTCCAAATCTAAATATTCCTCAAAGATTAGATGTTATAACTCCAAGAAAAGAGGCATTATAGAAGGAATTGTCCATAATGAAAGAAGGGAAATTTTAAGGTTGAACCAAGTACTAATAATAGTGTTGTTGTGGTTTAAGAAAGTTCCGAACAATAAGACATATGGGATGTTTTGGCCATATGAACGACCAGTTTCTTCAGATCCTCGGATCGTGGACTTGGGTACATCTCATCATATGACATATAAATGTGATTGATTATAATCCTTTAAAGAATGGAATGACTCGATGCAGATGTGTTACATCCCAAATTTTTGGACAAGAATTTTACTTCATTTCAAAACATCCAGTAAACATGTCAAAACAACCGAAAGTGTATAATAGTGAAATAACATCAGAGCACAAATCTCAAAATCACATAATGCAGAAAACAAGGGTGGTTGCGGTGCAATCAAATTGGGCCCTTCCCTTTCGAGCTAGAAGTACCTAAAAAATAAACTGAAAATCGTAAGCACAAAGCTTAGTGAGCTTCCCCAAAATACCCCATACCATACATACATAACAGTTAAAACATAATTGGGCATATTTTGCCCCCTTTTGATCTCTTTCAACTGGTACTGGGTATATTTGAACTCATTTGGTCTCTTTCAACCGGTATTGGGTCTATTTCACCTCTTCGATCTCTTTCAACTGGTACCGGGTATATTTCAACCCCTTTCAGTCTCTTTCAACCAATATCGGGTCTATTTCACCCCTACAGTTAACATATAATCATAATAGTAAGAGTCACAGAGACAAAAAGCATATACATGCATAATAGGAAATTTTCACAAGAAAATTATCATCCTACATAACCTAGTGGGTTGGGATTGGTTCCTTCGCCCCATGAGTATAGTGAAGGAAACTCACCCAAATCTGAAGATAATAAATCATAGTCGGTGCCGCTTCTGAGCTCTTCACACCAAACGCATCCAAAATTATCCTTAATAAAAAATTAAGGAAATTTCCATAGTCCAAAGTCCAATTCATACTCTATCATATCAATGGGTAAAAGACTATTTTACCCTTCCCACATCTGACCTAATAATTCATGGCCCAAAACCCCAAAAGGACCAAGACCTAAAAAGGCCCATTAAGGTACCTCGGTGCATACGCCCTGCGTACCACCTCAATACACCCGACGTGTGATGCTCAAACCTTAACTCCATTTTAGGTTTTATTCCTTTAAGACCAAAAGACCAAATCCTCAAGTTCAAGCATAATGAATGTCTAGAGTTATAAAGTTCCTGACTTTATGAACTAGCATGACTTAATAGAGCCCAACACTAAACCTAAGCTTCTTAACATAACAAAATGACCAAGGACTTTCTTAATAGTGCTTAATACTAAGAAGATGAATAAGATATTGTTAAAATGGTTCAATCAAGCAATGGGTCATACTTCGTTTCTAATTAAGTTTTAGAGCCATTCTCTAGTTACTTCGAATTGTTTCTTGAAAATTATTTCATACTAAGTAGGTTTATAACACCCCATGTGGAGTAATAGTGTTTTCTTAATCTAGCACATTTGGAATTAATAGTTGTGTTGTTTTTGGTTAAAACAAAGGATAAACTACAACCAATTTCATGAAGTGTTTCTTGTCGAGAATCCATAGTAACTTTTGAATATTTTTTTAGCTCGTCAAGAATGTTCCTTGAGAAAGAAAATTATATGTCAAGAAGTCAGTGGGAGTCTTATTGATTTTGAAAGGTTTCAGGAGTCAAACATGAATAAACCTTTTAGTTATCACCAGCACACGACATGGGGTTAATAACCTATCGTGTTAAGTTGACATATTCTTGTTTTTGTGTACCTTCCAATTGAGTTGGCAATGCTTATGAGTTCTATGGTTCTCATTTGATTTCAAAAGG